AGGATGCTCATTTCATCCTATTTCAGATGTACCTGCATTCTAGAGTTGATGTTCTCCCCGACATTCAAACCCGAGACCCGTTCGCTTGAGATGCCACAGTGTTTTCCATTCAGCCACAGAGTCAAGATGGACTCGTTGCAACGTAGATGAGATTTTATTCAATTTAAAATGCTTTGGATCATCCTGTTGTTGGTATTCGACTGAAATTTGATCGGTTTTTGTTGGCGTATGTGTTTCCTATGCAGATTTCCTCGATATAACTATTTCACCACAAGTTTATATATTCTATCCATTCTATATAAACTTGTATATACTGAGGCAATACGCCATTGATCTGTTTCCTATTAAATATACTCATCCTATGCGGATCACTTCTTCATTGCTACCATGTCATAAGCATCGTTAGCATAGATGGATGGTGATTCGCAGTGAAATCCAGGACGCGTGTTTCATTGTGCTTGGGACTTGTTACCTGGAAGTGTTATTTATGAACTGGTTCAGATATACATCAGTTGAATGCAGTCGATATCATTATGAGTTATCGCAACAAGACTGATATTAGTATCCGAAATTAATCTACACAACGACTTTAAACATCAACGAAAGGTTGGTGCGACTCTCTGTTCTTTTCTTTTGTCGAATTTTACTTGCTATCTATTCTTTGTTCACACATGATTGTTACAACTGTTTGTCTCTATTTTTATTCACATAATTACTGTTGATGTTTTATCTCGCAAAAGTATCTTTCTAAATTCTCTTACTGGTTTACATTTAATGTACTTGAAACTATTACGAGTTCACCTTACTCGGTAAACGAGAGCGAAGACAAATGATCCATTGACACGGTAGGCTATTCTCATCCGTTGTCCCAGGCTCTGTTGACGATATCAATGAGTCTTGATAAGGCGTAGAAAGTGTATTCTACGAGCACACAGAAAATATCAGGTTCATAAGTACACAAATTGAGTTTATTTATAACATCATAGAAACGCCCTTGGGAGAGACAAAAATAGCGTACTAAAATAATCCATCAACCAATAATCGTCAAGGATTTTCCGGGTGGGAAATGTAATTTCAAGGTCAACTGATCAGCGCGAAAACACAAAATCTTAAATTAGGACCTTTACCAAGTGAACTCTGGGTATCTAAAGTCCTCAACAACATTAAATGGAAAAATCATTTGTGAAATAATCTCAGAGATTGAAATTTGAATTTCCGCTTCTCGCCAAGTAAACTGGTTAAAACTTTACCATTGAAAATACTAAAATCTAATTTGTGCAAGATAAATAAGGTCTTTTAAACGCGACTTATTTAATCTACACTTCATGGGTAATTTCTGCCAATCTATTCATTCAATGTTCCTATGAATCTTTTTCTACTTATCACATGATCAATAGCTTGTTTAACTGCATTACTCAGTGCATTGTTCACTGAATACATTTGAATATTAAAACAGTGTGATTATGAATTATTCCCCAATTACTTATCTCTGTTTTGATAAATAGTGTTGAAATTCGTCATATTTATTTTAAAGACACCATTACTTAATTCATACTGATTAAATGATTATCATAAATCATATTTATACCAAATAATTATAGAGTCAAGACGCAAAATAAATTGGGAAGTAAAGCATATTTGTTCGGAATGATCGTTAGTTTACGAAGAAGATTCCACAACCGGGTTGAAATGTTCTCTAATATATTACTCTGTATAATAGTTTCGAATAATCTGTTTGATAGCATGTTTCATCTTAATTGTAAAGTCAGTTTTATGTTAAAAACGTTTAATATTTCGAAAAATTTTAGTTGCACTATAAATGTTTCAGTTCTGGGATAATTTTGACTGGAAGTAAGGTAGTAAACGATATTGAAAATTGAACTGATCACTTAACAGAACTACAACACTTTAGGTGACTATGCTAATACTTTTAAGTCGAACAAACTGAAAGATTCAGATAAAACACTTGGTTCAATGATAAAATGATACTCACTTCATCAAAAATCTTTTCATCCTAGATTAGAATTAGTTAGTGAACACTCAACAACCAAAGAATGTACAATATCTGCTCGTATCATCATGCAAACAGAATTTAATGTTATTCAACTATGACAGTAGGTGACTTTAGATTCTTGTGTTATGTTGTAACTTTATTTCGATGCATTTTGAAATGATGAAGAATGTTTCTAGATCTGATGAACATGATACAAAAAGTTTCATTCGGTGTGCTAGTTGATTTATTTCTTTCTCGTTGCTGTATTCAAGAAAAGCCGTTAGTTTTCGCATTACATTCGTAAAATTTAATATACAATATGGAAACTAGCGTCTCATTTTTGTAAAATCAAGAATTCATTTATAGGAATACACTTGATTTTTCAATATAGAGATGCGGAGATTGTTGTCGATTACTGGAATCACCAATCAATCATTGTCAGACCATCATTAGAAACCTGGAAACACTGGACGATCGCTTCTTCCTGTTATGGGACTCATCAATGGTGCTCATCCACAACTCCTGCAACTCGTAAGATTCGAACTCAGGACCATCGGGGTTGCGCGCGAACGCCTGACCTCTCGAACACTGGGCAGCCATCCAACGATGTTAGTGACCAGTGGCGTTCAACCCTGTCGTGTTCAACCAGTGACTACCGAAGACAAATGAGTGGGGTTGCGCACAATCCCTAGATCGACCAGAGTTAGACATTAACGCCGTTGGATGCCGACCCAGTGGTCCAGATGTGAGGCGTTTGCGCTCAAAAACGTCGGCCCTGGATTTGAATCTTGCTAGTGGCAAGGGTTATGAAAGTTCACTGCTGATGAGTCCCATACGAGGACGAAATGGCATCGAATGCTTACAGGTTTCTAATGTTGGTCTGACAATGATTGATTCATGAATATGTTTGAGTTTATCGTTATTCTCAAATATTGATGTTGACAGTTCTTCATAAAGTGAATCAAAATTGTTATATGTTTCTACTCATTATTCGCAAGTTGAACCACATACTAGCCTGATTTACAAGCTAGAGTTATTTGGTAGGTAGAAATAGTAGGTAGTACTACAGGTTTAATACAATGTTAAACCCTTATGATCTATTGTTGTCATCAAAGAACTGTGGAAAGTTTACCATGACTAAACATATTATTTAACAATGTTAAGAATTTTTGTCCACTTATTTTCAATAACTGTAAAAGATAATTCGATAGATCATTCCTATTTTGACTAAATATTAAAACACTTGTGTAACAATATTCAACATTCAACTATTCATCACTTATTAGTATCAGAACAAACATTTTTATTTCGAATCAAGTCACTTCCATAGAGAAATACTAATTTCCATGTATCCAATTATGCTTACATAATTTCAATCTTATGATCTGTATTATTTTCTAGTGATCAAAGATGTCATGTTTTAATTATTGATTAATAGAATTATGAATTCTCTATCAAGTCGCATAATGTAAATAAACATAATTACTCAAACACATTGTTGATATTTCAACTATGAATTCTATTTTGTACTGATCAGAAAGATAGGCTTATTTCAAATTGTTTTCAGTTTTATTTCAAGATGATTATTATTATCATTATCAATGTTGAGGCCAATTTTAAGCGTACATGCATGCAGTTCATTAACGAATGAAAGAAAGGAAATCGGTGTTATGCTCGTCAGCTTGATCTTCTTGAAACTATTACGAGTTCACCTTAGTCGGTAAACAAGAGAGAAGACAAATGATCCAGTGATACGATGGGATACTCTAATCCAAGCGTCCCAACGACCTACTAAGTAGAGAAAAAAGTCTTGATAAGACGTAGAAAGTGTATTCTACAAGCGCCCAGAAAATCGAGGTTTTTTTACGGAAGAGAAGCATAAAACTTTACACACAATACAGATTTATACAGTTAAGCCGATCGAGAATACTAACCAATAGGAAAAAAAACATTTAAAAGTATGTGAACTTGATAACTTAAGACGACCTTAAATATTGACCAATGAAATTAGACTTACAAAATAATTTCTTTAGGATATTCGATGAATATTTAGTATACTAATCAAAATACTGTTGCACTAAGATAAATGTTTTTTTTTACAGATCTGTAACAGTTCATACCTAATTCATGCTTTGCATCATCAAACTATACACATTCTTTGGCTTCTCTCAAATCCTAATCCTCTGGATTCTTCATCACCTTTCTCTTGTCTAAGTTTATTTCACTAGTTTCTACTTTTTGAATAACATCTTCGAACCTTAATCTTTTCGATTACTGCTAATACTTACTTCTATTACCTCTACTACTATGGGATTCGGATTGACAATTGCGTCTGTCTGTGTTAATATGGTGTTATGGCAACTTGAACTGATGTATGTAAGTATAAACGTACGACGTTCTACATTGTAACTGACTGACTGACTGACAGATTTTCTGCAAATCCATGAAGTCACTGACTAGTGGACTGAGTTATGTTGGTAGATATAGGCTACCACCTGGTTGGGGTCCACGAGACGAAAGTCACCAATGGTTAGAGACCTTGAATGACATGGCTCAGAATCGTTTGCAATGGGGCAAGTGCATCCATTCTTTGAGCTCTGTCAAATCCTAATCTTCTGGATTCGTCAGCACCTCTACCTTTGTCTTTCTAACCTTATCTCACTGAATTATACTTCATGACAAATATCTTCAAACCCTAATCTTCTTCATTACCTACCACTAATACCTCTACTATGTTTATCACTATGGGATTTGATTTGATATTTGTCTCTGTATGCTAATGTGGTATGGCAACACGAACTTATGTACATACGTACGACCTTCTACGTTGTAACTGACTGACTGACTGACTGAAACATTTTCTACAATTATTCCAAAACAATTGAATACAAGACGTAAGTTTAGTCAAATGCTTGTATTTTTCTTTTTCAATATGATTTTATTATTTTTTCAATAAAAAAAAGTAATTCAATTTTTCAAAAAATGATAGGTATATATATATTAATTTTACCAAAACAAATTCATTTAATGTTGACATTTCAGTCCACTACATTTGCCTTTGCAACATTCAGAATTTTTGAAACATCTATCACCAGCGTTTAAACAACGTACACATTTTCCTTTGAGACCATTTAATTTACAGACAGTATTACCGCAACAACGATCAAATAGTGTTTTATGACATACTTCTCCAAGATTTTTACATTTAAATAAACCTGAAAAAAAAAGAAAAGAAAAAAAACAATTTGATATTGAGCATAGATTTTCTTTAATTTACAAATATTGTTGTTACATAATCTTCAAATGTTCTATGCCTAATGAAAATGAAATATATCTGTTGAAGATATGTTTAGCTGGCTAGTTTTATGAGCCAGTTTAGTGCGCGCTACTTATAAGTAGTATATGACGTGAGTGTAAACGTAATGTCTGGCAGTAGAAGATGGGGGAAGATCAAGAAAAGAAGAGTTAGAACACAATGGAATTTGTATGAAACTCATGAATAGTGAAATGTCAGACAATGGATTGATGATGGATTGAAGATTTGCAAATTAACGATTTACGATATGGTTTTCCAATTTTACTGAGTAACTCTGTAATTTTCGTTAAATACAATTTGGTTGCTCTCACCTGTGTTCTCCTTCACTACACAGTAACTCGAAGTAAATATTTACTACAGTTTATGATGAAGTTTTGTTCACTGAGTTGGATATTTTCCATGCAAGTTTCACAACCACTACAGCCACTATAGCACTCTAACCACATGAATTACAATTCATCATTGCTCTAAACTGTTCGTTTTCTGTAAATCTTTCAACAAGGCGATTTGTTCACCTACAATCTTTGCCCTTCAATGACTGACTGACTATCCAACTACTTCGAAATGTAGTATCATGTTCATTTGAAATTACACAATCATACATATAGATATATATATTCAACATATTTATAAAATAGGCAAATTTATTAAAACACTGACTTACTTTCACTGAAATTAATGAAACTTAACAATGTCAACAGACTACTAATGAATAGTACTTTAAACATTATTAATTTTTTGTTTTTACGATATTTTCTTCTGTTATCACAACATAGTGAAACGTTTGTTTATATACTCGATCAAATGAGTAGAATGATGTTGTTTTTTTGTCAGGCGAACATGTTTAACTTGGTAATTCAAGATAATATTGTTGTTATTTCTTTCAACTGTTCATTTTCAATGTTTCAATGTTTCATTTCATTAAACTCTCTATAAGCAACAGGTTAGCAATAATGAATGATAAAAGACATGTTCAGTTATAATTGTTTTTTGTTTGTCAACGAATTCACAGAGTTCAAACAGAATTTAACTGGTAGTAAAAAAAATAACCCAGTACTCATTTGTGTATGTGTTGATTCTTGTTAAATGAAATGACAGTGATGACCTTGTTCTAGTTATCTCATATTGTATGATTCATGTAAAAAAAAGGAGAAAAAAAAACTGCAGATTTATTTCATTTTCATTTTGTTTACAAATTGACATTTGAAAGAACCCGCTGTTTTTTTTTTATATCATTGAATGATTGTTTGTTTTTCAGTGAAAATTTTTTATCATTGGTTCAATTTCGAGTTTTTATTTATTAATCACCGTCTGTAACACAGATTAATCGTAATTTTATTTCAATGTATTTTTAAATTATTTAAACAATTCTGTTCATTCATAAAGTTGACGTAGAACAGATGTTGTTTGACTCTAATATCCAATATCTTTTTCACGAGCTAGTGTAAACCAATTTGATTTCTTCGAGCTCTATTCTAGTTCTTTCGGTACGGTTCTAGGTTTTAGGTCATGTCAAATGGATGGAGGTCTAGCCACTCAACTGTCTAATTCTAGTCAGTTGGCAGTTGGTTGTGAGTTTGTATGTCTCGGGATTTGAATGAAAACGCTTTTTTCAGGGCAGTAAGGTTTCTGGATACTAGCAGCCGTCACATTACCAAACCGGAGATCAGTTATTTGCGATGTGGAGAGTAATAAGGATAATAAGGATAAAATTCTAATGATAATATGAATAAAATTTCAGAACTGAGTAATATATAGATGAATTTAGTTTGTTAATTGGTAGTGAAGATTGTGAGAGAGGACCGAAGTGTAAGCAAGGGAGAGGAAAATAGGCGAGATAGATTAATTGAGTGATCTGTGGAGATGGCAATGATAACAACTAGCAGGTCTCAAGATATGCATGATGAACAGTTTGTCTAAGAGGGAGATTATAGTCCGTATGTGAGTGCGTGATTATCAAGTCTCTTCTTAAAGCAGTCCACTGAAGGGGCTGTGGTTGCCTCAGCTGGGATAGAATTCCGATTTGCGACGACTCGCAATGAGCAAAAGTGTACACGAATCTGAGTATTCGCTCTTTGATGTGCAATCTTTCGAGGACTGCTTTGAGGGGAGTGGTGGTGATGCATCGGTAAGATGCTCACATTGGGATGGTTTGGCGTGCTGAATATGTTGTACGCCATAATCAGATCACCTCTGATTCTCCTTTAGCTCAGTGGAAATAATCCTAAGAGCTGGAGTCTATCGTTGTAGGGCTTATTTTTCAACCCTGTCACCCATTTGGTTGCTCGTCTCTGCACTCGATCCAAGAGATTTATGTCTCTTTTAAGCAGAAGGGGTGCGATGACATTGTGAACCTCCAAGTGTGGGCGCGCGTACGTCTTAAATAGGGTGTTAATTAAAGGATGTTCATCGACTGAACTAATATACAAACATATAAGTTGTTTAAGGTCAATTTTTATTTAATTTCAATATAGAAATATAACTGTTGACTTATCCAAGTTTATTAACTGTACTCTTGAAATTTTTTGCTTGTGGCAAAAGCAGAATACTGGAACAAATGATCATCATCACACTATATAGACTGATCACATGGATTTGTGAAATACTACAAAGACCTAATAAATAAGCAATGATAGTGTTTATATTATTTGTATAGTTTTTATGTATTCAGCAAGTATTGCGTATTTGTTAGTGAGAATATTTAGATAAAACTAACAGACAAAAAATGTTTGTTCTGTAGTCGGGATCGAAATTTCATGCCTAAAAAAACAAACAGATTGAACATATTAGGTAAAAAAAAACAACTGATCACTCAAGTTTATATTTTGTCTAACCATCTGATAGTGTAGTGAAGGAGAATACAGGTGAGGGCAACCGAATTGTATTTAACGAAAATTACAGAGTTACTCAGTAAAATAGGAAAACCATATCGTAAATCGTTAATTTGCAAATCTTCAATCCATCATCAATCCATTGTCTGACATTTCACTTATTCATGCGTTTCATACAAATTTCATTGTGTTCTAACTCTTCCTTTCTTGATCTTCCCTCATCTTCTGCTGCCAGACATGACGTTTACACTCACGTCATATACTACTTATAAGTAGCGCGCACCACAGTAGTACTAACATTCTCGACAATTGTACATTTTCTATCTCACTGAGCAATTTATTTGTTTAGCATAAGTTTATGTATTTAGCTATGAGTTGCGTTTATTGTGTGATAACTTGTGTTAGCAAGTGATATTGTGGTAATTGAAGTCGTTTCTATATGAGTTGGAACCTGAGACCTCTCTTTTAAAAGTCAAGTGTTTTATTTACTGAGTTATTTTTCTTTAAAAAGTGTACATGATCAATAGTAGTTATCTGTGAAATGTCACTATCATGACAGATCATTTTTACAATCGTATATCCAATTGCTAAAACTTGTTTGGTAAGTGCTGATAGAAAAATTTCAAACAAAACAGGTTCCATTGGATTTTACATTTTAAGTGTAAATGGGGCACTTAAGTATGAAACACTTTAGGCTTTTTATTAATAGTAATTTACTACACCTGTAGTGAAGGAGAACACGATAATTACAGAGTTACTCAGTAAAATAGGAAAACCATATCGTAAATCGTTCATTTGCAAAATATTAGTTCATCATATCGAACTGGACTGTTCCTGTTGCAAAACATCTATCCATTGTCACTATTCATGATGCGTTTCATACAAATTCCATTGTGTTCTTCTAACTCTTCCTATCTTGATCTTCCCCTATCGTCTGCTCCCAGACATTACATTTTCACTCGCATTATATACTACTTATAAGAAGCTTGCACAACACACCCACTAAATTTACAAAGTCTCTAATACACTAACAGAAATACTCTAGTAAATGCTTTTATTGATAATTGAACATATTGTACATTTTTGAATTACAGTTTTATGATATTTTTATAATGAAAAACACTGCATAAAAAATGGAATCTTAAGTCAAATCTGATTATCATATTTTAAAGACTTGATAATATTAAGCTTTATACAATTCTAATCCCAGTAGATTGGTATATTTTAAAAGTTAGCATAGTTTAATAGCATTGTGTTGGTGGTATTCAGAAACCCTACGGTTCTGAGACAAACTCACTCCCTTAAATTGCAAGTTACGCAAACCCATAAATAACTATCAAACCGACTAGAATTACTGCTGTCGAATGGCAGGACTGTGGTGCGCGCTACTTATAAGTAGTATATGACGCGAGTAAAAACGTAATGTCTGGCAGCAGAAGATGGGGGAAGATCAAGAAAGGAAGAGTGGGAACACAATGGAATTTGTATGAAACGCATGAATAGTGAAATGTCAGACAATCGATTGATGCTTTGTAAATTAACAGTTTACGATATAGTTTTCCTAATTTTACCAGTTAACACTGTAATTTGCAATTTGGTTGCCCTCACCTTTGTTCTCCTTCACTTCAAAACTACCATTCATTAAACATGAACAAATACCTGAAACTGAACCAAAACAACAGAAATCAAGCGCAAACAAGTCAATTACGACAATGAAATAATGATAATATGCCATCATCCTATAACATTAACTTTAAGTTCAATGAGAATTCTTAGTTACGTTAAAGAAATAAAGTTCTAATTACTAGTAGCTGTTCTATTTTTTCAAAAATATTTTATCTCAGCTAACTAAATCTTAAATTCCCTAGACAGATAAATAATAAATTCACGCGAGTTTTCAAAATATCAAGTAAAGTGTAGTGGATTACTTCTACGAAGAAAACGCAATTGGTGAAAAATAACATTTATTACTGTATTTCTTTTGTTTAACTATACTAGAAACACTTACTTACGCGCAACTTTCTATTTTGTGTTTCTGTCATAATAAGTTACATACTGCTCCTTATGTCGCTCACTTTCTCATTCAAATATATTCTTTACTCTGTATTTACATTTTATTAACATGACAGGCTAGTGATTAGTAATTAGTATTTAGTGGTGATCATAGTCAATTTCGACTCGGTCACCACTAAAAAAAGTGTGTGAAATTAACTCACAAAAAAAAACTGAATTGAATGTAACAGCAATGCAGTAAATAAAGTAGAATATCACTTATTTACAATTAAAGTTAGCCTGAAATCACAATAACTTTAAGAAACAAGTAAAGTATTTTTATTCAGACACATTTATTTAGAGTAACGCTTATGTCGTTCGATGTTCATAAGCAGATCTTTTGTTTAATGCGATAAAAAAGTTTCTAGAAACGATACACAATACTACGAAAATTCAGTTTGTTCTTGATTTATATAGAAAACAAGATGTTTGTTCCATTCCTTTATGTTAAGTAATAATTTCCTTCTCTGAGCTGGATCTTTCAGCTGTGGATCTTTCATCATTGTTCTTCTGAACAACATCAACAGCACAAACTTTAGATAGAAGAAGTGAAGTATTCGAATTTCTGCACGTTTGACCTGTAGCTTGTTCTGTTAACCTTGATCTTGATTAATTGCTGTTGACCTTAAGTTTGTCCTTGTTTGCACGGCAACCAATCAGATTAGCAGAACAAGCTATAGGTCAAACGTGGAGAAATTCGAATACTTCACTACTTCTATCTGAAGTTTGTGCGGATGATGATGTTGTTCAGAAGAATAATGATGAAAGATCCAGCTCACAGAGAACGAAAAACACCACCACAATCATCCATCTGAGCTACAAATTTTCTTCACCATCTTTTATTTTGTCTACAGACGAAATATTTAAGGATT